AGGGAAGGGGCGTCACCTGCTGTTTTGCGGTGTGGTTTGTTTGACCACCCCTCCACCCGCCTCCCCAGCAGCTCACCAGTGAGTGGGACAGGGGTGTCCCCATCCCTGCTGGAGGGGGGGATGTCCCCGCTCAGGGGTTTGAGTGTGACAAGCTGGGACCCAGTGGTGTCCCCCAGGAGGAGGTTACCTGCAGGAGCATCACCTACAGGATGCTGTAGGTGGGCATCAGTGCCCAACCAGCACCCAGACCCCCTCACATCTGCACTCAGACCCCGGAGCGAGGCAGCACCCGAGTTACCCAGCGGGGATTTTAACAGGAATCCTGGACCGAATTCATATTTTTGGGTTGGGATCTGGCCCTCGGACTGCTGGATCCAAATGTGTCTCCATGGAGGTGTCCACATGGGAGCCGGTGTCTGCAACTCCCACCCGGTGCCGCTGGATCCCACCTGAGCTCCAGGTTGCCCCTCTGGAGGCGCTGGCTCACACCACTGCCCGCACACCGGGCGCCTGTACCCAAACACCGCAGCCCTGGGCACCACAGGGGATGGAGTTGGGGGGGTATCAGCTAACGGGGACAGGGAGCAACGTCTTTTCTTAAAAATAAACACCTAGTGCCAGCCCCAGGGCTGCCAGGGACCGCCACCACCCCGCTCAGAACAAGAGCACTGAAGTGTGCGGCGCAGCGACGCACGCCGTGGAAGGGATGAGGGTTTTGTTTCCATCCCGTGCTGTGTCGGGGCTGCGCAGGGACCGGCAGCGCCGAGCTCTGCTGCGGTGCCGTCTGAGCTGGCGCCGTCCTCTCTCCAGCTGCCCGAGTCCTCGTCTCACCATCCGCCGAGGTGCGGGAAGGAGATGATGTCTCCCTGACGTGCCAAGTGGTGGGAGAGCCGCAGGACGACACCATCTACTCCTGGTACAAGAACAGCAAATGGCTCCAGGAGAGCCCCGAATACGTCCTTGCGCTGCCCCATGTCACCAGTGCTGCCGCCGGCTCCTACCACTGCCGAGCCCGCAGCCCCGTGGGGACCAGCGTGTCCCCAGCTGTCGCCCTGCACATCTCCTGTGAGTGGGACCCTCCTGGGAATCGAGGCGGAGTGAGGGAGTAGGGGGCCAGGGGTGGGATGGTGACGGGAGTTGGATGGTCCTGGGGTGGGATGGTGCTGGGAGTGAGATGGTGCTGGGAGTGGGATGGTGCTGGGGATGGGATGGTGACAGGGGGGGATGGTGCCAAGGATGGGATGGTGCCAGGGGCAGGATGGTGCCAGGGGCAGGATGGTGCTGGGGGTGGGATGGTGCCAAGGATGGGATGGTGCCAGGGGTGGGATGGTGCTGGGAGTGGGATGGTGCTGGGGATGGGATGGATGCTGAGCAAGGCCGTTTGGCCATGCAGAGCTATGGCTGGCAGGTAGGGGGTGCCTTGCACAGCCCTTGCTGCTGGCACTGTCCCCAAGCGCTGTGTGTCCCACGCACAGGACTTGATGCAGAGCTCTGCACACATTGTAGTAAAACATCCTCTGCCAGTAGAAAATGCCAAAGTGTTAAAAGTAGAAAGTTTATGGGAGCATATCTCCTAGATAAACCCTTAGTCTGAATAAAACCCACTCTGGTTGGTCACATCCCTGTTCAAGCAGAACTTTCCAGTGAGAAGTGTTGTGGCCACCACACGTCTCACCTGCCTGCCATGTTGCATAAAAAGGAGGAAAAAATGCAAGAACAAATATTTTGGTTCTCTAAAAACAACATTTTTCAATCAACCTGAAATTACCCAAATTTTTCAAGACTTCAGTTAGGAGAAATGTTGTCTGTGTGTGATGGAGGGGAAAATTCTGTAAAGAGAAAGTCTGGCTTACGCTTTTGCTGCACGTGCAGGCTGCTGCTGCTGCTCTGGCACTGGCTGAGAGGTGCCAGGAGCCACCGCAAACACCTCCGGATGTCCGGGGAGCCTGGGGAGGACGATGCCACCCAGGACTTGAGGGGGATGTGAGACCTCCTGGGCCGGAGCTGTGGCCAGGCAGTCTGGTCTTGGTGGGCTCTGGGTAAAGATTCAGGGTTTGCTCACCCTCCGTGTAACATCTGGCCTGGGCAGATCCTCCACGGGCGCCGGTGGTGACCTCCTTCCTAGAGACCCCCGAGGGGCAGCGCGGAGTCTTGCAGTGCACAGTGGACAGCAGCCCACAGGCAGAGTTGGCTTTCTACAAGGACCAGGCGTTGGTGGCCTCCACAGCGCTGCCCCAGCCCACCGCCCCGCCACGGCTCAGCGGCGCCTTGGCCTTCAACACGCTGCGGGTCAGCATCCACCCCGTGCTGCTGGAGGACGAGGGGGAGTATGTGTGCTCCGCCAGCAACGCCTACGGCAACGCCAGCACCGTGGCAAACTTCACGGCGGGCAGTGAGTACGGGGCTGGCGCTGCCACCGGGGACGGGCAGGGGATGGAGATGGGATGGAGCTGCAGGGAGAGTGATGGAGGCAGGGGGTTATGGTGAAGAGGTGACGGCAAGCGCTGCGAGGATGCTGGTGGGGAAGGGAGGGGAGAGAAGCTGGGGTGGGATGGACAGCACAGAAGCAGAGGAGAAACAGAGGAAGATGTGTTTATGGGGATGGAAGGTACTCCCAGAGAGCTGCATGTATCCTCCCGCACATGGTGAAGGAACTGCAGCTCCTCTCGGAGGTGATGCAAAGGGCTGGCTTTGCCGTATCCATCCATGACACCGTCCTGGCTGTGCTCGCAGAGCCAGCATCACCCCGGGCTGTCCCCCAGCCACTGCAGGGGCCAGGAGGGGTTGGCGGGGAGGGGGCTGAGGTGTCTTCATCGTTTCTTGTCTGGAACGATGGGAAAAGAGCGCCAAGCTGAAGTCCCAGGTGGAACCAAGTCTCCCACCAAGCATCCCACCACCCTCCTGCCCAGGTGCCCCTCCATCGCCTCCTGCCCACCTCAGTCTCCCCAAGCATCACCGCCTTCCCCTTCCACCGCAGCTGCCAGGGTCTGGATCTCCCCCTCCCCGGATGTCCGAGAAGGCGATGCCGTCAACTTGACCTGTGCGGTGGAGAGCAGCAGCGGGGAAGCGCTGAGCTACAGATGGTACAAGAACAAGATCTGGTTCAGAAGCGACTCAGCCCCGGTCCTCACCTTCCGCAGCGTCACAGCCACCGACGCCGCCTCCTACCACTGCGCAGTGCAGACCCCAGCACGGACCCGCAGCTCTGCCCCCACCACCCTCAACGTCCTCTGTGAGTGCCCACGGGCCGGGGGCTTCACACCATGGGGGGAGGTCTCCTGTGTCCACCTAGGGCAGGGACCCAGCCACGCCACAGGGAGGTCTCTGGGGTGTCACTCGTCCCTTGGCCGGTCCCATTTGGCTGGGAACCCTCCTGGGGGCATGGTCTGTAGGGTGTTAGGGGTAGTGGGGCCTCCCTTAGTGTTTGGGGAGCTCAATAAAAATTAGCCTTTTTCCCAGGTGATAACTAAGCTGAGCTTCATACTCCCATCCTGTGTCAGACCCCCGGCAAGCAGACCTGGCCAAACAGCCCCACGTTGTCTGCAGAAGATTTCAGTGAAGCTTCTCAAAGAGCCCCAAGTTTGTCCTCATGCTTTGCATCAAACTGAAACAGAAAAATCTTTGGCTTTCGGGAAACATTGCAGGGTTTTTCCTTTTCTTTTTTTTTTTTTCCCTGATTTGGAAAATGAAAACCAGACTTTGTTTAAAAAAAGACGTGCAAAAAAAAAGAAGTAGTTGCAAGCCAGAATGTAAGATTTTTTTTTTCTTTTTATTAGAAAAAGACAGCTTTAACTTATAAATCTGCTGTGAGGTGTGAGTATCGAGGAACACTCCTGGAAATGTCCTCCGGAGAGCCTGAGACCACAGCAACAAATCTATTGCTTCTCTCCCTCCTCCTGATTTTGGATGGACGCTGCAAAAAAAATATCTTGGCATTAACGGGCCTGAGCTGCACCCACAGTCATGCTGTTTTTGCACAAGCCTCGCTGTTGGGGTTTGCCATGCACCGATGTGCGAAGGGTATTTTTTTATCGAGGCCAGGGTGCGAGCGGAGCACCGAGCAGGGACGGGTTACACGCCCTGCCATGCTCCCACAATCTGGCCGGCGTGGCTGGAGCTGCAGGTTTAGAAATGAGCTCAGCAAATGACCCTGTGCCATGTTTTGAGTGTCGGTTCAAGGGGACCGTGGGTGCTGAGGAAAGAGGCAGCGCTGCCTGAGCAGGTCCTGTGTTACAGGCGGCGGAGCATCACTGTCCCAGCTCACAGCCCAGACCGTGAGAGCATCCGACCCTCCACCTGAGCATCGCCGGCTGGGGATGCTCTGACTCACCGAGATGCTGCTGATCCTACAGCCCACCTCTTCCCCCCCATCCCCTCCTTTCCTTCCCGCAGACCCCCCCAGGAACCTGCAGATGAAGGCCTTCGTGGAGAGCGGCGAGGGGATGGCAGTCATCCTCCTCTGCACCGTGGAGAGCAACCCCCTGTCCGAGATGACCCTCCTCAAGGAGGGGCAGTCCACCCCTGCCGCGGGAGGTGACCACCCCAGGCAGAGCGGCCACATCTCCTCCGCTCCCAACGCGCTGAGGCTGGAGCTCCGGGAGGCCTCTGAGGAGGATGAGGGCGAGTACGAGTGCCAGGCACGCAGCTTCCTCGGCAGCACACACGCCTCCCTGCCCCTCCGTGTGCAAGGTGAGTCCGGCTTCGCCGCGGGATGGGGCTGGGGACCCCCAGGCGAGCTGGTGTGGGCATCGAGGGGTATGGCCCAAATAAGTGTTGGTGTTGGGAAGCAGAGCATCGCAGGGGGAGGTCAGGAATGGTGTGGGGCTAGTGGGAGGGCAGTGAGGTGCTGCTGCCCGCTTGAGTGGGCACCAACCCCACTCACGCACTCCACTGAAGGGGGACTGGGGGGGGGTTGGAGCCGGGAAAGGCTTTTCCCAGCCTCAGCCGTGGAGGGCAAAGGGTGCGGCGGTGAGGGCCAGCTTGGCTTTGCTCTTCCCAGCGCTCAGAGTGGTGGTTCGTCCCTCTGCCGAGGTGCCCGAGGGGCCCGACGTGACGCTGACCTGCCGGGATGCGGTGGCCCTCCCGGGCACCGTCTACAGCTGGTACAAAAACGGGCGGTGGGTGGCGGAGGGGCTCGATGCCTCCCTCCTCCTGCCGGGTCCCCGCCGCACGGATGCGGGAGCCTCCGCCTGCCAGGCGGGGAGGGGGCTGCGCCGCCGCCGGACCCCCCCCGCCGCCCTGAGGGAGCTCTGTGAGTGAGGGGCGGCTGCATTGCCGGGGGGGGAGGGGATGGGGAGGGGGGCAGACACCGGCTCCTACCGGGGAAAGGGAGCCCAGGGGATCCCGGGAGGGATGGATGTCTCTGTGGCGGGGGCCGCGGTTGGGAGGACGGTCTATGTCGCCACCTGGTGATATCCCGCGACAGCCCGCGGCCAGGCGGGCAGCCCAGCCCCCGGCCCGGGAGTAGGAGGGATGTCCCAAGTACTCCTTAGCCTCCCATTTCCCCGCCCCCACCACCTTTTCAGCCAGCAGCTAACCTGTCACCCCCCCCAACCCCACTGGCTTGTTCCGTGCCACCAGATCTGGGGTTTTTTTTTGGGGGGGTGGGTGGGAAAATCTGTCCTTACTGTTGTAGATGCACCCCAGGAGCCTTCCTTCATCTCCTTGGTGGAGCCCCTGGGGGGGCGGCAGGCTGTCCTGCTCTGCACCGTCGACAGCTTCCCACCCTCCGACATCACCCTGCACCGGGGTCCCGGCCACGTGCTCCTGGCCTCCACGCGGGGCTCGGCGGACCCACGCATCACCGTCCAGGTGGCCCCCAACTCCCTGCGGGTGGGGATGGTGGGGCTGGAGCTGCGGGACGTGGGGCTCTACGTCTGCTCGGCCAACAACAGCTACGGCACCGCATCCTCGTCCCTGCGCCTGGATGTGGGAGGTGAGGGCAGCCCCGAGCCACGGTCACGTTGAACCCCGTGTCGGGGTCCTGGTGGGCCCTCCCATGGGAGTGTGTGTTTCAGAAGCCTTTCGAGGGGGGTTGGCGATGGTGTTGTCAGTGTTGTCCTGTGCAAACCCAAGCCCTGGGCACACCCTGACTCTTCAGCCTCCCTCCTCCTCCTCCTCAGGGATCACAGTCACGGTTGAGCCTTCGCCAGAAGTCCCCGAAGGCACCACAGCCACCATGACCTGCTCGGCCGTCCCTTGGGTGGGGGAAGAGGCCAACTACACCTGGTACAAGAACAGCCGGTGGCTGCAGGAGGGACCTGCTGGCTCCCTCGTCCTCACCCGTGTCTCCAGCACTGACACCGGCTCCTACCACTGCCAGGCGAGCGGGATGAGGGGCAGTGCCACCTCGGCCACGCTCAGCTTCAGTGTGCTCTGTGAGTGTCCCCCAGCCCCGCGGGGACTGGCCAAGGGGCAGGATGGGGCGCAGAGCCCCTGATGCTCTGGGTGCATCCAGCCCAGCATCATATGTGTCCCGTCTTCAAGGTCCTGCTGCGGTGAGGGGGCCTTCCTCCTCTTCTTCCTCCTCCTCTCCCTGCCCTACTCCTCTCCCTTTGGACCCAGGGAAGAGGACATTGGGGTTTTGTCTAGCAGTGGCTGCAGATACTCCTTGGAGGTCGCATTTGGAGCCAAGATGCTCCGAGCCAGGGGAGGCTCTCCAGCTGGGGGGGGGAAGCGAAGGGCTGGAGAGGGTGTGAAACCGCCAGTCCCGTGCTGGGTGGGCTGGAGCCGATCCAGACTGGAGGAGGGATGCGTTAAGCAGCAATTGGCGAGCGTTTGGGCCAGGGTGGGAGAGGGTCCCACGCCATGGCTCACTGCCAGCCCCATCTCCCATCATGCAGACCCCCCCCGAGATGTCTCCATCAGCACTTTCCTGGAGAACCGCAGCGGGCGGGTGGGCATCGTGCTGTGCACGACCAACAGCCACCCGGCTTCCACCATCGCCCTGTACCGCCGCGGCCAGCCCCGGCCCGGAGCCACCACGCCAGGGGTCCGTGTCTCCCCCTCCCACAATGCCCTCCGAGTGGAGCTGGGGACCGTGGGGCCGGAGGACTCGGGGGAGTACACCTGCGTGGCCGGCAACCCCCTGGGCAACGCCACGGCCGGCGCCTACTTCGACACGCACAGTGAGTGGGGCTGCCTCCCCCCCGGGGTGCCGTGCTGGGGGCGGTGGGGGATCTACTGGGAATGGGGACCTGTGCCAGAAAGATGATTTCAGAGCAGCAGAAGTGGGGTGGGAGCGGCCATGAGTCTTTAGGTGGATGGGAAAAGAGAGAGGGTTTTACTGGGAGAATTAGGTATTTCCTTTCAAGGAGATTTTCTCCTGAAGCATCCCAGGCTGGTTTTTATGAAAGGGATAAAGAAGCCGATAGAAACAGAAAATTGAGTTGAATGCTGCCGAATGATCGAAGAAGTGAGGAGGAATTGGCTTGGGTTCGACAAAAGGCAAAACACGATGCTGCTGCTTGTGTCACTGTGCCAAGTGACTCCCCCTGCCCTGCCCTGCCTGCTGCCTGCCCATCCCCGGGTGCTGGCAAGGGACAGGACACCGTCCAGCCTGGGGTGACACATAGAAACGTGCCTTGGTACAGGGGACAGGCAGCCAGGAGCAGCTGGTGTCCTTGCCGGGTCCCAGCAGGCTCCCAGTGAGGTGCCACGACCCACCAACTAGCTGTCCCCAGCCCCAGCGACCTGGCAGTGGTGCCGAGGGGTGTCCCCCATCTGCAGTGGGCTGTCACAGCCACCTCCCTAGGGTCCCTTTCGCCCCTCACGGGGAACCCCAAGGCCTGGGGGGGGTCCCACCTACACTGACCCCACACCAGGGCCGTGCTGTGGCTGCAGCCATGGGGAAAAGGGCCCCATCCCTGCTGGGCTCCCTGAGCCCCCTCAGGTCTCGCTGAGCTGGCAGCCCTGGTGCCGGCAGGGATCTGCCCTGGCTTCCCTCTGCTCGCAGCTCTCACCCACCTTCTGGCCTTCACCATCCTGGCTGGGCTGCTCATGGCCATGATCTGCGTGGCTGCCCTGGTGCTCCTGGCTGTGAAGCTGTGGCCCAGGTAATGTCCCTGGCTGGGATGGGGAGTTGGGGGGACGGGGACTCTGGGCTGAGCTGGCCCATGGGGGGAAGC